CCCCCCCCCCTCGCCTTACCCTTTATGCCAGCGCACACAATTCGCAAAAATAAAATACAAAAAACTCAACACCACACATGCAAACTATAAATATATTATATGCACTGTGCACGCCAGATAATAGCATTAACATTTGATAAATATCTTGTATTTTAGTAACCAAAAAACCTATAATGTTGTTTAATTGTACGGTAGCTATTATACTGACATGAGAAAACAACGTAGACCCAATGCATTTTTTTTATTCTTCGTTTTGCGTTTAAAAGTAACCAAGCTTTCCAGTAATTTTCCACTGACCCTCTTTAAAGCATAGATCTGCACATCGGCCTTTAAAAATTATATCAGCAAAGTATTGTTAGATCTATCACGAGACTGGTTAAAACAGATTCCCCCTTATCTCTACAAAACCACTTAAACTTTAGTTTAGAAGAGATAAAGAAAGGTTATCTGGAAACAAATCTCTGACGGAATTTAGCAACAGCGTTTTCTATTCTAATTAATTAAAGAAATTATTATGATTTCTATTAGGCTATGCTTCCCCCTTCGTTTTGCCACATTGAAAACACGCCAAACTAAATATGTCAAAGCCAAATAATAATGTTGTGAGGTGTTGTATTGTGCCTACTAACTACTAAGTGTAGAATTATGTGGGTTGTGCCCATCATCTTTGGCCAAACGCAAAATTAATTTAACCGCGAAACGGCGATTTTAGGCCTAATTTTGGTTCATCTTCCGAGGAGCTGGCATTTGGTCAGATAGGACACGTTGCCCAGAAGTAGGTCACTATTATTTTCATCGGGTGGGATACAGGCAGGCCAGGCGTCGTGAGACCAGCAGTAGTGCCCGCTAGTGTCCAGCAGACCAACGCAAGCCTGGTTAGCTGACACAGTGTGTAGTAGATCTAGAGATCTAGAATCTAGATCTAGAAGGCCTAGTGGCAGATGTCTTTCAAGTGAAATTCATAAAGATGATAGCTTCAAGGAAGACCAGTTAATTTGTTTCATGACTGATTTGATTCATGATTCAATTTCAGAAGAGTCAAAATGATCGGGAACGAAGTGGTTATTGAAGTAACTGACCGCAGTCGGTAAGTACAAATGAATAGTGAGTTAGATTCTAGTTGTACGGGATGATTCTGGTCTAACTGTTGACACACAGCTTTCACTTTCACTCTATCGGATAAAGGCCTTACATTTGAGGGGTAAAGCCCCCCCCATTGCTGAATAGTTCAGTTTGTCTTGGATTTGAAGTTCAAGTAAGCAGCAGATTTGATTATCAATTACAGTAAAAGTAGCCTACTAATAAATCTAGATATATAGATCTATCTAGATTCCTATCAAGCATCTATAGGCCTACATGGGGGAGAGGTTGGTTAGGAATAAATGGAGGGTGTGGACAAGTGGTCCAAACTTAATTAGAATTAAACAGAGGGGAGGGAGGAGGG